ACGGCAAAAACCATGCTGACCTTGCTGATAGAACAATGTTACAAGTAGTCGCTGCTCAGTCCCTCATATTAGGCTCAGAAGGCACCACCTGATGTGCCAAGTTGAATGTTGTCGTGCAATGTCATCGGCGGAGTAACTTGGAGAACCATACAAGTCAGAGGTCGCCCCCTTAAATGGGAAACTCATTCATTCATTAAATCATCAAATTAGTACGGTCCGTGTAGCTCTGGTTGATGAAGAGGGTCACTGTGTGGCATACTAGCAGGTCGAGTTGCACTAAAGACGACATGGCCATCAAAACAGCCAAGGCGTATTGCCACTGGCTGCCTTTCTCGCATGCGCTGATGGCTGCGTTGAAGCTTACCACGTTGGCCTGGACGCTTCGTGTCGGCATCGACCACAAGAGGCTCAAGGCGTGCTGCCACTGGCCGTCCTTTTCGCAAGCGCTGATCACGGCTCCCAAAGTGATCACATCGGGAGAAACTCGGGCAAGAGGCATTGCCTGGAAACGGGCCAAGCCCTGCTGCCATTGGCTCGCCTTTTCACAGGCGCTGATGGCTGCGTTGAAGCTGACCACATTGGACCGCACACGAATGAAAGGCATGGAGTGGAAGAGGCTCAAAGCGTGCTGCCACTGAGCGTCCTTCTCACAGGCACTGATGACAGCGCTCATGGTGATGATGTCCGGCTGCAGAAATCCTTGACAAATGAAAAGAAACCGCCAACCTCAAAAAAAAAGCCCTCGAAGAAAGGAAGTGTCAAGGGAAAAACCACAAGGAAAAACACCATTATGGGGTTCCGCCAGATTTGGACACACACCTATTTGGGTGATTGGAGTAGGGCAAAAGCCTTGTCTGGGGTCCTCCGGACTCAAAGAAGGCGTGCCGCATGCCCGTCTCACGTGCATCGAAGCCGTCGCCAGGGACCTGCTGAGAGCGTTGTGCTGACTGCTGGGGAAAGAGTCACTTCCAAAAGACGCGCTGGGCTATTCAAAATGGAAAAGGGTTGGCCAATCCGATTCTCCATAAGCCCTATAAAGCCACTACACAAGGGGGCCAAATCCTTGCTGAACCGAAGGTAAGGATTAAGGATTACCTTTGAACAGCCCAGTCCAAAAAGATAAAACAAAAAGAGTAAACCATCGAGTAGGAAATGTTTTTTCCCGAAGCATTGCAAAGCAAACAAGTAGACATATTGCTACTTGGAGGAAGGAGTCATTTCTCAATGGTCAAAAGGAAAATTACCCTCCCAGCAAGCATGGGACGTACCATAGGGTCCCTTTGAGAAGAATATGGAGTTGGATTCCATGGCAACGTGGGGTAAACTTGGCTCACATGTGGGTACACAGGAAGTCCGATGTTCAGATTCTGAGTATTTTCCGCCTCTGAAATATAACATCGTGTTGGGGACCCTACACAAGATCATGGTGGAACATGGCCACCCCGAAGTCGTGCATTTTCTTGATGAGATGTTCACAATGGGGATTCCCAAAACGAATACATATAGGATACATGTGGGCCAGTCAAAAAACACACACACACAAGTAACTACCAGCCAATTTAGAGGTCTTCCTTGGAGGTTTTTGGCTGTATCCTAGGGTCCCCCCCAAAAAAATAGAAGACTCGGACAAAGCCCGAGGCCTCTGTGTCTTTGAGAGCCATCAACAAGCCCAGCGCGTGCTGCCACTTCCCCACTTTGGCCAACGCGCTGATGGAGAGGTTGTGGCTCATGAGGTTGGGCCCCAGCCGCCAGTGAGGCATCCGCTGAAAGAGGCCTCCATGGGTCCCATGGGTCCCATGGGTAGGGGATCTGTAGGGGGACCCCCCCAAAACTGTGAGGTCCACCAAAAGGGAAGCGCGACCCACAGGCCTCCAAACCCAGTTTCTTGCCCAGGTTTCTTCATCCGTTCATCAGCCCAACGGAGCGCCTAGGGCACTTTGCCACTGCGAGCCCTTCTTGTACGCGCTCATGGCCGCGCAGACCCCCACGGCGTCCACGTCCAAGGCGCCTTCGCCAGCCCAGAAGAGGTCCACGGCTTGTTGCCACTGGGACGCCCGGCCGCAAGCGCTGACGGTGGCGTTGAAGCTGACGACATTCCGCGCCAGCCGTGCACTGGGAATCGCCGCGAAGAGGCCCACAGCCTGTTGCCTGAAGCGAAGTGGAGCATCAATGCATAAGATATGAGGTAAACCACTCACACACACACACACACCCACACACACGCGCGCGCGCAGCTTTTAGGTGATCAAAACGTGTGCCGAAACCAGGAACCAACAGATTAACACCGCAACAATCCTCCAGCAAGCCTCCTAAAATATTGGAATCCCCCAATAAAAACCCACCACGAACAACAAAAAGCTTCGGTGTCATGATGCAATGTCATAAACATGTGGGCCAGATCATGCTGCCTTGACAGCTTTCGACTGGCTGTCCCTTTTCCATGACCTATGAATGAGTCTCAAGATTCAAAAATCCGAGTCACCATTCTCGTGCCCTGTCGCATGCGCTGATGGTGGCATTCAAGCTGAACACGTCTGGCTTCACCTCGGGGAATGCCACAAAAGGAGAAAACACACGCTGTGTTTCAAGAAATGGGGGGGACCTATTGAACATGATCATCTCAAAAATGAGCAAGATTCCGTAGAACACGGGTGTTCCCGAACATGTAGGTCCCCAGAGCGGTTGCTAATCAGGGGTGGTGCCCCTTTTGGAGGGCAACCATTCATATTGGGGGAAGTGCTCGGCTTGTTGTTGATTGCATGGCCCTCCTTGACATGGAACCTCACGGGTGCATTAAAATTCACCGCAGCGTGCATTGAAGTTCACCGGGTTTGTCTTCGGGGTCTGCAAACGACAAAAGACATGCCTATGTTGGTGTGCTTTTTGAAACAACCTGTATCTTCATTTGGTATTTGCGCGCGATTGCGGAGATTTGCGAGAGTACCGGAAACTTGCGCGCAAATGCCGCGCTGGCAGGGCGCCGAAAATCGTTTCACCTGAAAGCGACTTGTCTCAACAAGAAGTGTGGGGAAGGTACAGTCCTGAAGCAAGGGATCTCTGCAAATCCAGGCAATACTTTCGGGCTTGGAGCTACTGATGGAGGCAGCAAAAATTGCAAAGTGCCACAAAGTGCCAAAGCCGGGTGACAGGTGGTAAAACCCTTGCACGGGGTGCCATGATGCCATGCAACAAAATCTTCGCTTGGGCCTGGGATGTAAACCAAAGAGACTTCAACGGCTCTGCCGGCACCGGGACGAGCAGCGCAGTGTCGATTCTTTCTACAAGCACCAAACTTGGCGTAGCCGGCGTGGCTTCATCCGATTTGTTTTGCGCAAATCCCCCAAAATTGCGCACATTTGCTAAAACAAAAACAAAAAAGCGCAAACACACCACAAAACGTGTAAGCAAGCAGTTGAGCAGAAAAAAGGTGCGCACACGGGCGTTGAAAACGCGCAGGACCTCCCCCCACAGGCTTGTTCCGAAATCCCTTGCAAAAAAAAAACATGGTTCCTGCAAAGGGCAAAATCAACTTGAGGTTTCCTCATACTTTGTCAGAGCAACCCTGCCCCACCTCCACCTTCGCCATGGACGCCAACAGGTCGCAGGCCTGCTGCCAAGCACTCTGCTTGCCGCACCGCGCCAAGGCCGAGGTGAAGCCCCGCGCGGACTGCGGCGTGGGCCGCGGCAGCGAAGACTCCGTGGCCTGCGGCGGTCACGCACGCCGTGCGGCCGGTGGCAGCCAAATACCGTTCGTTGACGTACTCTGCTGGCTTTTGCAAAGCACTGTGTCTAGCATGTCTAGCAAACCACTCCACCACATGACAAAGGGCACAGGCACCTGTGAAACACAAGCCTTGCACATCATCCCGCATGGCTTGACGCAGCAAGCCAGCCCCCCATTCAATAAGCAAACGCAGCACCCAACTGGTCACACGGATCAATGTGTCATGGGGCGCGCGAGTAATTAATCTTGCCGCGATCGGTTTGAAGAAAACCGAAGAACGCATACTGGCCCCATATATTCAATACTCCAGGAGCCCAAGACCCCAGATATGAGGGCATTTGACCCCCAGAGACCTTAAATAATGAGGTCCCAGGCCTCTAGGAACTATACATTCAGCTCAGGCAAACTCATGTTCCGCCTCCGGCGCATTTGTCGGAAAAGCCCGCGAACCATGGTGCACGGGGATGGCTAGACGCTGTGCGAGAGCGCTCCATCGCATAGACGCGCCCAATGGCCGTGGTCGAAGGTTGCAAAGAAGAAAACGGAAACGGGAATTTGGATCTGTGGTTCCGAGTTCTGGAGATTGGTTTGGATCAAATTGACTTTGATCCTATTGCTGAGTGCTGGTGCTTGAAAACCTCACAAACTGGCTCAACTGCTGGTTGGTTTGTGATAAACTAGCCATCCACAAAACGCATTTGCTCATCCCCTTAAACCAGGGTTGGAGCCTGAGAGGATCTTGAAGAAATGTTGGCGAGCGATTGAAACAGCCTCGGGCAGTTCTACAAATCTTCCCCCTAGGTCCTTTCTGACGCTTCGGGTGAGTGGACGCGTCCGGGGAAGTCACTAACACAGCTTGTGTCCCGTTCAAACTTAATTGCCCTTCCTCCAACATGGCATGTGTGGGAGACCTGGAAGATGATTTCCCTTTGCAAGGGCCCGCGTGTCAGGCGCCATCTTGGGTAGCCAACCAATACGCGTCAGCAGGGCTTGTGGGAAGGAACCCCAGGATGCCGTTAAAGGAAACCACCAGTTGGATGGTTCATAATTTATAGGAATCATTCCTTTTATCCTTCCCTGCATCTCTCGCAAGCACTGCAAATCAGAAGAAAAACCATAAAGCCAAGGCTAGGTCCCCCAGTTTGAGAGGTCAGAATAAGGGTACCCCTTCTTCTTGTCGATTTTAGTGGGGGAACCCTCCCAACCAAAAAAACAAAGTGAGAAAGGGCACCTAGCTGGGGGACAAGCCAAGCAGTTCCGCAAACGGGCCCCGGGCAGCGCCGCCATTCTGAAAGCCATCCAGGTCCAGCCACAAGCTCGCCTCGTGGGTCTGGATGCCCCGAATCCTCGGAGAGAGCGGAGAAAAGCCGCCCATGGGCCCGCTCGCAAATGGGTTCCAGCAAATGGGTTGCTTCCTTTCGGACCCGAAAGCTCAGTTTTCTTTTGGCTCCTTTTGGACCCGAAAGCTCATTATTGTTTTTTTGTTTTGTTTCTCTTTGAGAAACGATTGGACCCCTCTTTTGACCTTGGAATGGGCTCCCTGACATGGCTGGGAATGTGGAGAGGTGGATAACATGATCCACACCACGCGACCCATGGAAAGACCCAAGAGCCGTTCGAACCACTGGGACCCCGCGCCCAACCTGGGAGGACCAGTAGGTGGTCAGGATCCCATCCTGGGTGAAAATGGATTGCGAGAGCGCCATGCTCAAGCTGGACAGAGGGAAAAGAAGGGAAAGAGGACCATGATTCGAGTTAGGCCCAGCTATGGAATGTATATTTTATTGTTTGCTTCGCATCTGGTAAAATGTAAAATGTATCCTAAGTCTACCACAGGGATGGAACGAGGAACGGCAAGAGGGAGCTTTTGCCGAGCCGCGCAGGCGAACTTGGGCAGGTAGTCCTCGCTCCACTCGGAGTTGGGGTAGGCGGGAACCTGGAGGACCATGTTCTTGATCTCCTGGCGGTAGGGTTCCCGAAAAATGTTCCGGTAAAAACGAGGTAAGGCAATTCCCTTAGGTTTCCCACTGACAAGTTGATCCCAAAGTAGGGTTCTCTAAAATTTAGCCAGCCCCGTTGGCTGAGAACCCAGTTTTTCTTGGACACATATTTTGTTAGGGTGAATTGTTTTTCTAGGGAGGAAATCGCCAAACCAAAAAAGAAGCAGAGAAACAACCTACAACCTGCTTGAGTGCCCCAAGCAGACCTTTCCCTACATCAAACCCAGCGAGAGGCCTCGTGAAGCAGGGGTGGTTTTCAATACTGAGCAGGCTGGTTATCAAAGTGGCAGGAGATTGTCAAACATTGCTCATGGGCTACGTCGAACATGTGGCAAGAACCCTCGCCTTTAGCAGAATCAATCCCCGACCGCTTTTTGACACCAAAACTTCGCGGGCAGCATCGAAATCTGGCAAGGCCATTTGCTTAGTGCGAAGTATCTTTGGCTTTTTGTGTCCTGCCGTTACAACGGAGCTGCTGATCATGTTGTGCGTTGGGCTTGTCTCATGTGGCGCCTCAAAATGCTTGGGTTCTCTTTCGCAGTGGATCCCAGGCACTATAGAAGGTAACCACCCATTTCCCTTATAGCTTCAAAGGGTGGTTTCCTTGGTTGCCTACATAGGGGACGGAATCACTGGGATTTGTATCACCCCCAACATGCAAACCCAAAGGCAATCAGGCCACTTCTCTTAGCACTGTTCTGGACCGCAACTTCGCCTGCTTCTCTGCAAAAATGACTCGTATACTAAACACCATGTGGTTCTTGTCGAATTGGAAGGTTCAGTCCCATATTCTCTGAATGAGACGCACGAGACTCCTCATGCCCCCACATTTCTCGGCATGTCCAGTACATGCTGCTGGCGCGAAAAAAATAATCACCAGGTTGAAGGCAATACTATTGAAGCCGCCAGCCGAGGCCGTCCCTTTTGCGAAGCAAAGCTGGCTCATGAGAGTTCCTCAGGTGGCTAACTCAAAACGCCTGGTGGCCGGTGGCCTCCGAGGTATCTGTATCCTTTTGACTGCCATAGACACTTGGCCGCTTGGCCGCTTGGCCCTGGCAAATTACCGGCGCCAGAAAACAACCATGGAACCAGATGTGCCATGACTGCCTCTATCGCTTGGCGGGCTTTTCACGCATCTGCTCAACATCTTCCCCAAAAGCAACCACAAGCTGATAAACATGGGTATCCAAAAAAGCAAAGCATTATAAAGCAAAACGGAATTACACAACCGGGAGTCACCACGTTTGTAAAGAACCGCGGTGCCAGCCCATTCGGCCCGAGCGCCGAGCGCCCGCCCTCTCGCTCTTTCTGGCCTCCACCTGTCCCAGGCGAATCCAGGCCTCCAAGGTGGCGTTCTCCTGTCACGAGTGGCGTGGGAGTTTTTCCCCCGCAGCGACGCGCCGATGCACCAGATCCGAGAATGCCAGGGTGTAGAGTTTTGTGAGCCGAAAAGTCCGTCCGAAAGAGTCTCCAGAAGGACCCCGAAAAAATGGGGGGGGGGCATTGGCCTATTTTTACAGGGTCAGCAGGAGACTCAAGGCAGCAGAACAACCAGCCCTCTTTCCGACTAGAATGGCCGCCAGAAGAATCCGGACAAAGTATGCTCCAAAGAACTCTCAAGTGGTCAAAAGGCCGCCAGTCTGGTTCTATGTTGGTGGGTACCTCTTGAAGGCTTTGAAGGAAGTGTCTGAGGAACGTGCGGCATCTTTGAACCTCCAACAGGACATCCCAAGAAAGGAAGAAACGCTTGCCCTGACATTGACAGGAAAAGAACCTCTGCTGTGCTAGGCACACCCATACTTGCCTTCGAATTGTGTTTTCCTCTATATCGGCACCGCAAAGGGGGCTCCGTCTCCTTTTTGAAGCCAAATTCAATTTGGAAGCCTTTTGTGGCATCATGAAACATGAACATGCACGGTGATTGTTGCCTACCAACCACACTTTGATTATGTTCTCCACCTGTTGGTGGTTTGAATTTAACAGGGATCGGATGTCATGTTCACATGCAGGGGGGGGGGGTCTGGTTTGTCTCAAATCCTTTCCGAATCCCCTCGACATGGTCCCAAAACGGGGTTCTCATAAGCGACATACCAATGTGCTCAGCAAACAAAGGACCAGGACATCTTGTCGTCATCTTGGGCCCTTTACGCTGACAGAAACCAGGCCACAAGGACTTAGTGGTTATTTCCGAAAACTGGCTTCTCCACGTTCTTGACATGAGAACCGCCCCGTTTTTTGCCCGTTGGTTTCCCCTTTGGGCGCACCGGCCTACGCCAAAATCCCCCCCACCCCCCGGGCGCCACCGCCCCCAGCCACCTCCCCCCCGCCCATTTTACCCACGCTCCGTCTGCAGCTCCACGGGGTCCGACACCATGAGCCTCAACTCAGCTTGGGTGAAGTCAAAGGGCTCTGCGCCCAATCGGCTGTGGCGAAAACCGTTTTGGGAGCCCATTTTGGTTGGTAGGTGAATTCACCACCCATTTTAGGACCTATTTTAGTGAGGGTTGGGATGTTCACTGGGGGCTAACCGGGATTTGACCCATGGCCATGTGTACACGGCGGCCATCTAGAAAGAGGCGATAGAGTACTTAGTAAGTGGCTAGTAACTGGCGAGTAACTGGCGAGTAATAGTGGTTAGTAAGTGGTTAGTAAGTGCATGGTGAATAAGTGGTCAATCACCTGGTTGTAACTCGCAAAAGCCATGGTTACATGACTCCTGGTCGAGCTTTCAAAACCAAGCTGATTCCGTTGTTTGCATCATAAACCTCGGTCGCAATACTCATCCCTTTACATGCGGGGTGTTGAATGGAACTCTAGCTGTGAAGGACCTCTTCTACAACCCACACACTTGAGCGGTCATCCCGGCAGCCGGACTCAGCTGGGTGAAACGCGAGGTGCCTGACTCCTGCCTGATGGGAGCGGATTTAAACCTGAACCCAGCATCTAAGTCTACATAGATTCCATGTTCATCATTCTATTAAGGTTCCAAACCTTGATCCAGCACACTTTTGATTTTGAGTTCCTCTCTGAGAGGGCCACTGAGTTGCCGGGCAACGAAAACAGCCAAGTTGGGAATTTGGATCACGACGATCCAAACGTCTTCCAAGGTAGGCTCTCAGATATCAAGGAAAGAAGCCTGAAGCTCCCACTGCATTGCACCTGCAAGAAACCTGCCTGCCTCAAGGAGCCCCAGAACCAATTCCGATCACTATTTCACGATTTGGGCTTGTCGGTTTTTGAGGGTCGCCTTTTCAAAGGGAAGCCAAATGCATTTGTGGGGCGCGTCCCTTGTTTCGAGACAAACCCGTTTGGGCCAGCTTTAAAAGGCAAGGTTCTTTCATGAGTCTACGTCTTGCACTTTGGATCCTTTTCAAAACCTTGTAGCAGTTGTTTTTGTCGCTTGTTCACATGTCCTGGCTGGAATTAGGTCCCCAGCAAAAAACACATATTTGTTGCCTAGTGGAAAACAATGATAAGACCCCCAGAAAAGCGAAGAAAAAAACAAAGCCACGCAACTTGGATTTGTTTTTCGCTCAGGCCAAGGGGGAGCAAGTTCTGGGGAAGATTTGCCCTTCGACTTCTCTTGGCGCTGCTGGGTGCGCTGCTGCTCCCGAGACTTGTTGAGGTCCATGTACCCGTGGATCAGCTCGCCTCGAAAACCGAACCAGCGAACCGGCAGCAACGTGACGGGAACAGCAAGATCCCCTTAGTCTGTGGGTCAAAACTAGAGTAACCCCAGAATGGAACCTTTGTAAATGGAAACATGGACTAAAACCTGTGGTCTGGTGGTTTTATTTTGACTCATACCCAGATGGCGCCCACCCCCAAACTACCCAGAAAAACAATGATGGAATATACAACCACATGTAAAGGGTATACACATTGATTTCTCTTGGGGGTAGCAAAGGAAAAAGCTGTGCAAATGGGTCCCTTCTTGGGAGTACTCCCCCTTGCATGCAATACTTAGATCTGGGATGGTTGGCTTCATAATGCCCCTGCATATGGTGTGCCGATACCAGCAGATCTGCACCTGAAATAGCCGGTGTCCTGTAAAACTTTGGGTTGCCCTTCCCAAAACACACAAACACACACACACACATACTGAGGGTGGCTTCGTAATGATTTCATATTCCCACGATGTAAAGGGGAAGATGTTGTGCGCAACCTGGGTTGCTTTGTGCTGAACTCTGGGTGCAACATGTTGTCCCATGTCAGCCAAACACCAGTAGCCTCCTACGCTTGTCGGCTTGGCGACAGTTACATCATGCAACCAAGAAGTCAGCTTGGAGGGCTAACAAAAAGAAATCCAACTCCATGAGGCGGCCTGTTTACTTCTGATTTGACGTTTTGGCAGAAGTTTGAATCCTCAAAACACAGTTCGGCCCTGTGAATCCCTGGCCAACATGTGAATGGCATAACAGCTCGCAGTTCATCTTCATGGAAGAGACATCCAGCGACGGACATCCCCCTTCCTCACTGGCTGAGTGGATGGCCCAAAAAAGTCCAAACACTTTTTTTAGTTACCACTAAGATGGTCCAAGCCCAAAAAGTTTAAAGTTCAACTCAGGAAGTTTTCTTTCTCGGAGTAGACAGTTTTCTTTCTGCTAAGTTATTGTTTTCCTCAGGAAGTTCTTGCCACTTCATGACCTCCGACCCTACTAAAACTCAGGAAGTCAGCTCGCTTCCCGGAACCCAACGGCTCGCGGAGTTTTCTTCGAGTCGGGCCCCGCGCCATTGAAGGCCAGGGACGCTGGGGTGATGGGCGCCTGGCGCAGCAAAAAATCAAAGCGCTCGGTGGCGAGGGGTCATCGCCGTGGACGGGAAAAAACACGCCCAAGCACCAGGAGAAATGAGAAAGATGCACGAAATGACTGGTTGAAACCATGGGTTTGTTGGTATTTACTGGGGAATCATCAGACACCAGGTTTTTTTTTGTTAGGTTCAGGAGTTCGTCCATCCACAGTAGAGTAGGGGTTCGTCCATCCCAACTGCAGCGTGAACCCACGGAGTATAAATTGATCAATTTGTGAAGTCGTTTTCGAAGCATGTCCGGAAACGTTGGTCTCCTGCCTGACCTGTTTATGGGGATGTGCATTCAATTTACATGTGAATAAATATATACACCCATACATTTTTTTTATGTATATAAATAAATATAATACATACAAAAATATATAGATTATACATACTAATATGTAAACATGTGCAACACATCTCAGCATTTCACAATACATCTTTACCATGCAATCATGTTGTGATGCAAACACGTTGCTGCATGCATGAACATCCAAAATTTCAGATCAGCTCGGCTGCAGCCCTCCAAGTCGACGCATCACATATCCGGCGAGTTATCATATTACCAAGAGACCCTAATTAACGTTTGCAACTTCTACAAGAATTCCAACACCCGAAGTTTAAAAATTGGACCCCCGGGTACAGGACCTGAAATCATCGTTTTACCCCCAGGTGAGCTTGCCAGAGGAAACCGCAGACCCTTCGGCCCGGCATCGTTGACCATGGTGGACTGCAGATTCGGCAGCATCCCGGCGGCGGAGTTGTTGCCGTTCAGCACCCACTCCACCCAACCTACGGGCCGGAAGAGGCGGTCAGTCGACGGGCGATGGAAGAGGAGCTACAATTGCTCCCCCATGTTTCTTGCAGGTTCGCAGCAAAGAATCAAACCGTTTTGGGTTCCCCTCAAAGGAAACCACGAGAGATTGTTTATAGGGGCCATTCTATTTGTTGCCCGCTGAGCACCAGCAAGTTTTTCCATTGACGCAGCTTTTACTTGGCATCCTTGGTTTGCAATCATGGTCCCTAAGGCCATGATCGTATTCTACATCCATGGTGTTCATTGTCACAACAAATTGCATTAAAAAACGGGGAGGCCCCAAAACCACTGGATCCTACAGAAAGGGGGGTTTGGAGAGACTGAACTCGAGCCAGTTCACCTCCCAACAACAATAGGCAGGAGCAGCTCCCAAAAACAACAGGCGTGGTTTTGGTAAGGCAAAGATTCGAAAGAGGGGCTCCCAACAACCTGTGCTTTTGGGAGGGAGGAGCAGCTCCCAAAAAGAAACTGAAAAGGGCTAAATAAAGAAAAAGACACAAATGTGCCTTACGAGGAAAGGGACCCTGCCTGCCTCAAATCTCTGCCTGCAAACTCCTGACCAAACCGCTTTCTGCTCTAGCAAGGTTAACGCTTTCGGGGAACAATCGCGGGACCACCTAAGACTACACACACACACACACCACACCCAGGAGCGTGTGTGTATGTAACAGTTGGTGCGGCCTTGACACTCCTTTGTGTTGGGTGTCTTGCCTACCTCAAACAACATATGGGTGATTCTGGTCCATATTTCGTGAACCCGCAAAAATCAAGCGGCCTCCCAGCTTCCCGCAGGCAAACTGCGCACCCGACACGCGAAGGACTTGACACAAAAATGGCTAAGGCTTGAGAACGGAAGTAAATCATGGTGGCGCCAACTGTGTCAACCCGTAACCTGTGGCTCTTCACCCTCCATTTGGGCTCCTATTTAAGGGTAGGTTTCCTCCAAAATATGCGGTTTCCTCTTGGTTCCCTTAAAACCACCCTTCAAAAGGGACCTTTCAACCAACCCCAATAAGGGGAAGCTACAAAACACACGCAGGTAGGTGTGTCTGTTTTTGAGTACCCCCATCTTTCGTGGTTTTACAGGCAAACCACTGTGAAAACACACCGATATGTGTTATTTAAGTGCTGTTTGTTGTTGTTCCTTTTTTCCCCTTGTTGTTTGTTTCCTTTTTTTTCTGTTTTCTTTTTTTTCCCGGGGGGGAGGGGGGGACTCATACCTAAAACAAAACTATAAGAGAGTGTGTTTTTCTTGTTTTCTTCTTTCATGTGAACTCCCGTCCAATAAAAAAGAAACAGCTCTCCACGTCTTGCCCCACTTCAGGGACCCCAAAGTCCGCCACATTCTCCAAGGGGCGCTCGTAGCAGGTCCAGCGGGGCACCATCTCGCAGACCGCGTTGAGGCACTGCAGCTCCGAGCCCCAGACCTGACTCCAGCCGCGGGGGAGCGGTGGTTGGGGGGGCGTTTTAAGGGGAACCCCAGGGAACCCCCCAACAACCACCAAAAATCGACCCCGTTTTGTGCTTGGTTTACCGGAAGAAGGGAGAGCCCCCAAAAACAGAAACGAAAACTGCAGGTCTGGGCTACTTCAACCCAACTGAGCAGCTGTACTTGGAAACAAAATCAGGGTGGAGCCTCAATGTTGCATTCCCCCTCGTGTTTGTCAAACCTGCTCCTGTTCAGAGAGGGGGAACATGACACTTGCACCTTGCACAATGTGGGAGGAAAGAGGTGGAGATCCAACCATGCTTTCGAGACCACCTCAACATATGCAAGCCAATCTCAGAACCAGCGGAAAACGACCTGACTTGTCTGGCCGGGAAACGCTTGAACATGTGCGCTCTAAAACTGAGGCAACCAAACCCGTTGACATAGTCTACCAAATCTGTCAAGTGTTGATGTTTCGAGGGAGCATCTTCACCCTCTTGCAATTCCATGCAACCTGTTTGTATCGGTCAAACAAGCCCCAACTCTTGGATCTTCGTCTTGGGCGTAAAATCATGCAGCTGAAGCTCCCCCTGCGGGGGTCCCTAAGTGTCTCGAATTGTCGGCACGAACTTCTTGCGAAGAACAACAAAAAACGGGTCTGCGGTGGAGATACTCATAATCCTCACCCTGTCACCCGGCAAGTGGCGGTGTCGTTGATCGCCGCCATTCCTGGGCTCTGATCTGTCACAAACCGCCATCCAACATGACCGTGGAGAGATGTCCAATGTCCTGAAGCAATCCTGGGGGCCCTGGACCACAATATTTAAAGCTTTTTCGGGGTCAAAGGCCCTCATATACTTGGGGTCTTGGGCTCCTAGGATAAGGTGAATATTCGCTGTGCAAGTGACACGGACATTTCACCCGTCACCAGGTCGATTAGCTGCGAAATGAGAGCGGGACTTACGCTGTTCTGCAGGCTGAGTACCTTGCCTCAACAAATGTGGAAACCGACATCATTTCAACAGCCTCCATCTGGGTCCCGATTGAAGGGGCCAAAGCCTTGGGGCTGGCACTGCCCATCACAGCCCCATTTTGTATGCCAGCGCCTCGCTCGTGTTTGTCTATCTTTGAAGGGGAAAGGGATGGGGGAAAATGGAACTGGGCTCACCCTCTCTGCCCCTATCCGTTTCTCTCCCAGGTGTTTGTGGTCTTCGATTTTGAGGCGGGACTCCCTTCTTCCAAGTTCACCGCCTTTTTCGCTTTGCTCAGGTTTTTGACTACGAGCGGCGGGAGAGCACTTGTAGCGGGAACGCGTTCATCGCATGCAGGTTCGGCACGCACACCGCACCGATGTTCTTAAACCCGCGGCCTGGCGATGAGATTAAAGAGATCCCCTGTTCGCGTAAAGGACATGGGAAAACCGGGGATTCACCTTCACAACCCAAACCGTACGGTTTGTAAGAAAAAACAACTGATTGTTCGCAGCCTACTAACAATTAACAGAACAAACCAAAAAGAAAACACTTGCCAAGAACAGTGAAGTGTCAATGTCATGCATGAGCCACGGTCCAAATTCATTAATTACTTGTTTCGCCCAAGAAGACATGCATGGGAATATGAGGGAGTCTCTTGATTTTTGTGAGTTCCGGTCCATGTTCGAAACAGACATGCACAAATCATTTGTTGGGTGCGCAATCCTGACAACCGGATCGTTTTCGGGGGCTACATGGCTCTGTTTTTTCGGGAAACTGAACACGGTTGGACATCCACCTAAGGGTCAAAGTGAAACCCGGACCTCGAGGGCAAGAGAAAACTGACCATTCCCGGATTTACGGAAATATTGATGGGTGAAATGTTGGTGAATTTTACATCCATTTGCTTCTAGTGGAAAAGATGTACACAACTATTTCCAACAGCGATAGATTCCCTTGAAAAACCCGGGGAACATCAAATAAATATTATTTTCAGCAAATGGACGATTACAGGGTTGATCGAAAAGTCCTTTCCATGGGATGACCATCAGGGAAATCCACAAACAAGGTGATATTTCTCACTAAATGAGAGAAGTTACCCATGGTCATTTGGCTGTAAGTCCAAAATAGGTACCCCAAATGGAACCCTAGTAAGTGGAAACATGGACCAAAACCTGCGGTCCGATTCCTGGTGGTTTAATTTTGACCCATACCCATTTGGGGGCCGAAGGGAATCTTGATCAACACGGATTGGGATTCTTCGATCGGACCTGGGCATTCGCTGAGGTAGTGGGTGGTCACCCCGTTGAAGAGGTCCTGGGCCGCGGATCCCGACTGCTCCAGCGCCACCTGAACGAGGCGCCCTGCCCCGTCCCGTTCTGTCAGGAAGGAAATGGCATGATGAAACCAACGGGGAGATGTGTGCCAACTTTCACCCAGCTGCAATTGGAATGAAGGTATGGGGGTTCCTGAAAACTCGGTCATGATCAAAGAGCACAAGGCTAGAGGATTGCCTCAAGAGGAGGTAAGCCAAGTCTGGTAGTGCGGTGACTTTTAAGGCTCTAGTGCCAGAAGTCATGCACCTCAAACAAGCGAGCATGTCTGCAACCTGAAGCGCCGTTTTAAGCCACAGCTGGAACATGGGTCTTTGGACAAGGCTGCCCTGCGACTGCATTCCGCCGTGCATTCATCGAACACGAGTGCTCCATCTCGTTGCCACCAAGCCTGCATTCAACCGTACTGACTGCTTAGCGGCAACAGCGGCAACCATCAAGCGCAAGCGCCACGGAAAGCGTGTGCTCACGCCACCATCTATGCAAGCGTAGTGCCAAGGAACGCCTTGGGGAAAGTGGCCCAACCCAGGGCGGAAAACTTGAATACTTCGGCTTTGGAGGGGGGCACGTTGTTTTTCCCGAAAGCATGGCGAAGGGTTCTTCCGCTGGGTTCACTTGAGTTGTTCTCATGAGAGTCATTACAAGGTGTCATTGCAAGGAATCAGCATCATGAAAGTCATTGCAAAGAGTCATTGCAAGGAGTCATTGCAAGGAATCATCATCATGAAAGTCATTGCAAGGAGTCATTGCAAGGAGTCATTGCAAGGAGTCATTGCAAGGAGTCATTGCAAGGAGTCATTGCAAGGAGTCATGGCAAGGAGTCATGGCAAGGAGTCATTGCAAGGAGTCATTGCAAGGAGTCATTGCAAGGAGTCATTGCAAGGAGTCATTGCAAGGAGTCATTGCAAGGAGTCATTGCAAGGAGTCATTGCAAGGAGTCATTGCAAGGAGTCATTGCAAGGAGTCATTGCAAGGAGTCATTGCAAGGAGTCATTGCAAGGATTGCAACTTGCACTTGACTCCTTGCAATTGCAACTTGCACTTGACTCCATGCACTTGCAACTTGCACTTGACTCCATGCACTTGCAACTTGCACTTGACTCCATGCACTTGGCTCCTTGCACTTGCAACTTGCACTTAACTCCGTGCACTTGCGACCTGCACTTGACTCCATAACTTGCAATGGCTCTCATGACTCCTTGCAATGACTCCTTGCAATGACTCCTTGCAATGACTCCTTGCAATGACTCCTTGCAATGACTCCTTGCAATGACTCCTTGCAATGACTCCTTGCAATGACTCCTTGAAACAAGCAAGGAGTCAAGTGCAAGTTGCAAGTGCAAGGAGTCAAGTGCAATTGACTTGCGAGGAGTTAAAATCTCTTCTTAGGGCGGCGGGGTAGTGCCGACGACACTACACGAAAATCGACCCTCTGCGGGGATCGGCGTGGTCGAGGTGCAAAAACCATGTTTTTTTGCGATTTCTAAAGTTCCCGCGCGACCCTCTGCGGGGATCGGCGTGGTCGAGGTGCAAAAACCCATGGTTTTTTGCGATTTCTAAAGTTCCCGCGCGACCCTCTGCGGGGATCGGCGTGGTCGAGGTGCAAAAACCCATGGTTTTTTGCGATTTCTGCGGTGCTCGCGCGACCCTCTGCGGGGATCGGCGTGGTCGAGGTGCAAAAACCCATGGTTTTTTGCGATTTTTAACATGCTCGCGCGACCCTCTGCGGGGATCGGCGTGGTCGAGGTGCAAAAACTCGAGGTTTTTTGCGATTTCTGCGGTGCTCGCGCAACCGGGGATCGGCGTGGTCGAGGTGCAAAAACCCATGGTTTCTGCGGTGCCCGCGCAACCTGCGGGGATCGGCGTGGTCGAGGTGCAAAAACTCGAGGTTGTTTGCGACTTTTGTTGTTCGAACTGGTCCTCGGGAGTTGTCTCGTGGTTCGCGCGCCTGCTCCCGGAACCGGCGGGTCGCGGGTTCGATTCCTCCCTGGTCCGCGGGCGGGCGTCGCAAGATGCAACTTGCATTTTAAAGCAACTTGCGCAGAGCAACTTGCGCAGAGCAAGTTGCACAGAGCAACTTGCGCAGACCAACTTGCACCGACCAGTTTGCGCAGAGCAGACTTGCGCAGAGCAACTTGCGCAGAGCAACTTGCAGAGCAACTTGCACAGAGCAACTTGCACAGAGCACCTTGCCTGGTGCTGTCTCGCGCTTGCTTCACGAATGCTTCGTGTAGGGAAAAAGAACGCATCATGCAGCGTTGGGCCGACCTCGCTTGCGATGTTCTGCTTTCGGGCCAACCGTGGTCTAGTTTTGTTGTTTTTTGAGTTTGGGGGATTGATGCTCAGCTTGCAAACAGATATGGTTCCGTTCAGGATTGCAGTGAGGCGGGAGCAGGCTGCTTTTGTAGGTGAACAGTTTCCCCGTTTCTGGGCTGACTGCGACTTCCTGGCATTGCCCAAGTTGACAGACCCGCAAGCCCACATGCCAGGAATTCTGAACCATTTAATTTAAAAAAACAACAACCAAACAAACAAGCAAACAAACAAGCAAACAAACAAACAAACAAACAAACAAACAAACAAAAAGCCAACAACCGCCAATCCACCCACCAAAACTGCCCTGCCCCGCCATCCCACAAACCCCTGACGCCTCATCACAAGCCACCCAGGGGTCCTGCGATGGGCAGTGATGCCTTGGGTTGCTTTGGCCCCCCCAACCCTCACGATCCAAGAGGATCAAGGGCAGGAAAGGGCGTACATACTCAGAATGGGATTGTGGGGTTTTGGTTTGGGAGAATCATGGTTGCAATTGACAGCAAACAGGACGCTATAGCGGAAGGGAAAGGGCGGGACTTTCATAGGTAAGGATCCTTGAAAGGTGCCAAGATTCTTGGGGTTCAGTGGCTTTCAAGCAGACCCAATGCACACCACATTAGTTGAGGATTCCCGGATTTGTAAGACAAACTCATTTGGAGCGTCGCTCCAATCTCGTTGTTCTGGGCTTAAAGCGTCGGACCAATGTTTGGTTCGCTTCGGCTTTGCTTCGGCTTTGCTTCGTGTGCTTCGGGTTGGTCGGCTTGAGGATCGGTTTGGGTTATCTTCTCTACGAGTTCCAATCGGTGCATTGAGAGCTGGCTGCGGAGCTGGTTCAGTGCGGATGGGCCTGCGCGCCAGTAAACGGATGGGCCTGGCGTTGAAATGTGGCTCGTGCGGAGTAAGCCTCTGAGGTTCGCTTGGTGGCGACAACCTGCCGTTCCTTGCTCTCTAGAGGCGGCTTTCGACAAGGAGAGCGACAATCAGGCTTTAGGCAATCAATTCTAGTCGCTGAGGCAGCCGGCACGAGTGGCATGTTGGTAGCTGCGGGCCACACGGAGTGTTTGCCAAGTTGCAGCTGTAACCTTTCACCAGTTGCCGCAAAATGAACCTACCCTCCCACCAATTGACATCGAACCTGACGTGAGGGGAGGGGGGGAGGGTCCTGCCAGACCGTTTTCATTGGCGGGAGGGAAATCCGAAGCACAGTGTGCTCACATAGCGTGCGGAAAAAATAGCCTCTTGAAACCTGTGGTGATCTGCACCGGTGTGGAAAACACCAAGACCCTCCATATGGGTGTCTTTTTTTGGGGGGAACCCTCTTTGGCCAAGGATTTAAAGGGAAACCAAAAGGATAACCACATTTTCGGGCGCTCCCCTAAAACAAGACACACACACATACATATTGCAAAACGCCTCACCCAACTTACAGCCAAGGCCCAAAGGAAACAACATCCAGCATCTTCCAAGGGTTTTCTGAGCAGTACCCTTTGCGCCATGGGTACCAATTGCCAGCCTTAGGTCGTTGAGACAATGCTTGGTTCACAGGTCTGACCAGCACCAACCCTCGCTTCTGCGCTCCCTCCCCAAGAAAGGCAACGACTCCTGGCTGCTCCGGATCGCCGCATAGACACAGTCTTTCACCTCAATCGAAAACACGTATTGACGAGTCGGAAACACATGGGTTCAGAATTTGGAGAACCCATTGGCTTATGTGTATCTGGGATGAAACCTGTTGGCTTCTGTTCCTTTGCTGAAGAATTCCTGTCCCAACAATTTATGCTGATAGATTGGATTTCCTCGAATCAAATCCAGTGCAATTGAAATGGTGCAGCCTGCCAACGAGAGAACAAAGGGTTAAACGACCACTTTGTCCGCGGCCAATGAGCATGCTCAAAACTGACTCCAAACTGGGGCCCGCTACACCCGAACTCCGCACGAGTGACACGCAGAGTTGCAGCCAGGGGACGATCTGCGTCTGCTGCAGGTTCATCTCGTGCATACGGTTCCCCGCAAAGATGCCTTCGGTTCAAAAAGGGTTGACTCTTCCAGTCAAAGCAACACGTGGGAACGTTTTGGCCAGCCACTCTCGACATCTGGCGTGTAGCCTTGTCTGAGTCGTGCTGAGAAATCTAGCTTTGCTGATAGTCATGAGGAGGCAGTTTATGATTGTTTACTTTCTCCACAACGAAGCTAGCTCATCCCCAATCAGCCAAATGAAGTAGGGATCCCAGCATTTATGCATAGGGTAGCGTTGTTCTGCGGAGCCAGCGAAAGGATCCCCAGCGATGGACATGTAGCAAAACATTGGTGCCTGCAAAGCTGCCAATCTGTCTCCGGTGCCCTCACCCCCTCGAAATGATTGGCTATCCATCTTCACCGTCGGTTTGCTCTGGGAGTCCAACGCTGCTTAAGCAACCAATTACCTGTTCGTGGATGAAAGCAACGAGAACTAGTTCTTTTGCTTTCCCTTTGAAGGAGACCAGTGTCGTTGTTCGCTTAGATCAACTACCATCTCTGACCCAGTCGACTCCAAATCCAAGCTGCAAGTGGCGCATGCCTGGCCCGCCGGCCAGTGGAGGTATGGCACTAGGTCCTTGGAATGCTGCCGGGAGTTGCGACTACCTGGAGTCTGCTTCTGCTGGGGTCATTACCCAACATCAAGGGGTCATGACCCCATTCTTGCAGGATCATTGAACCCTCTGTTCGAGAGGGAAAACACATCTCCATTGGAACATTCTGGACCTCAAACAATTTGCCCTTTTGAGGTACCATGCTGAGTACGACAAACGAAAATGCCAACATGAACCTCGAACATTGTGCGGGCACATCACCTTGGCGCAAAGTGACATATACTGATGAAGTGGAACAGTACGGCAAATAATCTGCATTTCCCATAACGTGGCAAGCGGTTCGCTGCCGCGGACTGATGCTTCACTGTACTACTGTCTGGAGCATGCTTTGCGCAAGTCTCAAAACAAAAAAGACACTTTCTTCTCACTTACTGCACTGACTGGTTGATTGAAGCTACCAAAACCTTCAAGAGATTTGATCAGCTTTGCTTTCCCGTCCAACATCACCCCAAAGGGAAACTCAAGCAACAACCGGAACATATTGGGACCCACTGTCTTGCTCTTCCTGGGTTTTGTTTGGTAATATGGGAGGGGCCATCCAGCACTTTCGGACAGAAAGACGGAGCCACAGCATGCACATGCTCTGAAGGCCAAGCTCATTTTTGAGGGTCAAATGGTGGAGCTCCGCCTCCCACACTCCGCGCCCCCTGGGCCAGTCCGAGTGTCTGGGTTGCCGCATTGGTGCAGGCCTTAGTTGCCGAAAGCACTCAGCAAGAAACTTCCTAGCCACAGTTAAATCCCCAAATGCACCGGGCAAGCAGCCACAAAAAATGATAGACATGACGTGAGGGGTGATCATTCGTTCAAGGCAGAGCCTGTGATGTATCATTTTGCTTTTGCCTCATGTAAATTGGCTCAAGGTACCCCTGCGGCTTGGAGTGATGGAAACCCCCTTTTGGCAGGGTGCCAATAGGTACAAACGATAAACCTAGCCCCAAGTCAGTGTTGAACCCGGATTAATAACCCTTATTAATAACATGCGGGGTGTTCCCCTCCAAAAGTGATGAGTCCCACTAAAACCACGCACACCCCCATATTAATAAGCTGGGGTTTATTGATCCGGGGTCAGCATTGGAAGGCTTACATCCCCTGTACCATGTGGGGTCAGAGTTTCGTCTGACCCTGCCATTGTTTTTGCTCCGGTACCGGGTATGGCTTACCAAGTCTCTGGGACGCGGGAAAGAATGTTGTCTGGCCCAGGCACAGTGAGTGTGATCGTAGAGGTGCAAGCAGGACTGGCAATCCTCAGAGTTCGTCTGCAAGGTGCGGCGCGGGAAGACGATGAACTCCTAACGCAACCGGATGTCCGGACCAATGGCGCCCAAATTGCCAGATGCCCAACGAGGGCCAATTCTTTCGGGTTGATGTCGTCTTTAGCTGGAAACACAGTGAAAGAGGGTGCTACTCAATCATACCACAACACCAAACATCAACATGTCCCAATGACTATTGAGCTTCACACCCACTTTCCACCAACGTGAGACACCAGCCGAGAGTGGCATGTGCAGCAAAGACCTCTTGCCTTGGGTTTGACCCTTCCGAGTCAAGCTGAACGCATCCAGCATTACATCTTTAAGCAATCGCAATAATATATCTGCAAGCTTTGTGCTTGACCCAACCGAAGAACTCCTGACAAAACAAGCCGGCTTTATAGCTGTGTGATGCACGTGTGTTCCATTCCTGTGTTGGTGGAGGCAGGACAGGCTCCAGGCTCCAGGAAGCCTAACACTTAATTGGCGTGCCCGTCTTCCGCAAGACGATGCGCATCGTGTGGCTGCAGCCGCGCAAAATGATGCTGCTTCCTCCCAACATGACCCTCAAAGCCTGGTCCACGTTTCTTGCACTGCCAATGGGCAGAACGTACATTTATCAATACGTGGCCATGCCCATCCCCTTTAGCTCCCTCGCAATGACATGGACAGAAGCGCATGGAGCCGTGATCTGCGGCCATTGGCATTTATGGGTATGCGGCGGATTGCATCAAATTGGCAGGGCGCCCTGAAAAAAAGAACGAACGCCCTTGTCCACTCTGCCGCCTCAACTTTTTTCAGGGGGGCGCCTAGCGCCTGTGCCTTGCTGAGCTCATATTGTCAAACCCCAAAGTCAGCTTCTGTGCAAAGCTTCAATTGAAGCTGCTCTCAGCAGAATATGTGCACAGAGTATTTGTGGTTTTCGAGCTCAAACGGTGGATCAAACGGTGATGTTTAGTGTAAACCCACCCCAAAGGGCCCCCAAAAGTGACAACTGTTGGGTTTCGAAAGCCAAAGCAAGCCAAAATTCGCCAAAAGAGGGCCAACATGGCAATGTTTAACCTAGACCACCAAAAACCTGGAGCCCAAGCGAATCCGCGCGCATTGATTCGCCCATCGGCCCGGCTCTCGAATCCATCCTGCACGCTGCCCCGCAGTGTGAGGTACTCTCCGAGCGCCTCGTTCCGGTAAGTGCTGGACTGAAAGCCTCAAGGCGCCGGCGGAAAGAACAAATGATATGGATCACAAGCTAAGGTCCGATGAACATGGGATGACCGGTGGTTGGAAAACCACCAAAAAGATCAGATGTCCGGCAAAATGGGAAAAGTTAGCCGAGTTAGCCATAGTCGTTTGGGGGCCAGGAATATTGATCGACCCACTTGTGTTCAGATTTAGTTTCAGATTTATTTGGTCCACCCCAAAACTTGAAATCTGTTGAGGAGACCCGAGTCCAAGAACACTAAGAACACCCTTGGTAAACATCGCCCGCCGGACCCGGTTCCATGTTCGCGTTGAGTAGAACTCATTAGAACCTAACGCTTCGGATTGACCCCTTCTGGGGTACAGGATCTCTAATATGCATCTCGCAGCATGGTTCCGTCAAACTACCAAAACGCATACGAAACGTGTAGGGGCCAAAAACTTGAGCCGGTGCTCAGTAGGTCGGACCGAGTCCAGGTTTCGGGAATGAACCGTTGTGGGATTCCCTCAAAGGAAACTAGGATGGTGTATAGGGTCCATTCCCTCATTCCCTGCTGAGCACCAGCAAGAAAACCCCACATTCAGCCTGGAGAACGTACAAAGTTTGGAGGTAGGCTTAGCCCCGAATAATCTCGAGCGGCTTTCCTTAGCCGAAGGTCACCAAACAAGCCCGAAAGAAGTACAGACCCAAATGGTCTCAGTGAGAACACTGCAAGCGGAATGGCTGATCTACGGGACGAGACATGTCCAGCCCTTGGTGAGTTGCTCGGAAGGGCGTCTTCAACTCACGCATCACTTTACAAAGCTGAAAGACGCCATGTGATCCTTCCAGTGCTTCCACCGAGGTGCACTCCCCGCACAGATTACAGGGGAAAAAGCCTTTGAGGGCGTCTGTGCCCAATCAACTTACACAATCCTAAGAGCCCCAACGACCAGCAAATCAGCAGCCAGCTCAAATTTGATTGCATGCTGCCAACGAACATAGGCTCCTGCGTCTAAGCGACCTGGTTTAGTTAGCAACACACAAGTTCAATGTTCTAGACTAACCGCGGCTGAACCGTGTGGTGATCAAACAGAAAAGGGGGTGTGGCTAGTCGGGCGGCCCGTTGATCCAAGTTGCGGCTGAGCGCCCTACCGATAAAAGCTGCAGCTGGATATACTGTATGGACGGCGACTTCAGGTTATCAAAATAGAAGACAGCTCATCTGCTATCTCCCATCGATGACTTCTTCAGTCTCAACGCATCGCCAACAGGACTACTGACACTGAGTCCTTTGTTGGGAAAAAAACTACAAAACACAACTGTACTTGAAGATTGGACGTTCAAAATGGAAGATTGGCGAATCCTAATCCACAATGCTAAAGCAAAAAACAACAACAACCTGAAACGGATCCCCTTTAACCAAGGTCGGACCAACACTTGCCCTTCGAAAGTCCAGCAGTGACCCGTCCGCTTGCGGATGGAACAGCGACAAACAATACTGTGGATGGACGAAATCCTCTTAGGCACCACCGTTCAGAAGCCCTGGAATGATTCGATTCCCCTGTAAATTCCAACAAACAACGGTTCCCGTGGTTTCAAAGTGGTGCGAAATGGATTTCGTCCATCAACAGTATGCGCTGCCGGCCACATGTGGACAAGCTGCAGTAGTCGTTGGAGCACAGCTCCCAAAAGCACTCCTGTCGGCACCCGTGTGGGGGGGGGGTGTTGTCAAAAGTCGCAAGGGTGCGCTTTTTCCGCCTGGTCATGGTAAATGATTGCAGCAAGCGTCAAATGCAGCTAGGATACAGTTGGGTGGAAGCAGATGGCACAATTCACTAGATATATTGGTTCAGAAATATCTTTCCGTACCCATGCAATTGCAATTGTGACATTAGTGTTTTCATCGGTGCAAAGGGAACCTTCATTACTAACCACCAATGTTGGGCTGTCAAAACTATGGGGCTCATGTGGGACTCTTCGGAAAATAACATGGCGCTTGTTGGGAACCCTTCGGACCCCTTGGGCTTTTAGTTGATGGACTAGGGTGGACAATATTTGCATCTGGAGTTGCTTCCATTTGCTCAAGTCCCCTGGAAAAACAAGGCCAAGAACAACGCATTTCCAGCGTAGTGATAGATTCCCTTTAAAACCAACAAGGAAAATAACGCATATTCCTAAGAAAAAATGTATGTCCAGAATCCATTCTTGAGGTCCCGCTAAGCCTTCTTTTTTGCGTTGATTTGCGGGCTTGTCCAACTTGTTTCGCAAAAAGGCATGGGCCGCACAAGGACCGAACAAGGGGCGCAGTGGTATCTGTTGGAATCAAGTTTCAGGCAGCGCGAGAGGCACTGTAAAGCCAACGTCAGTTGGGCTCGTCACAAGCTTGGACTTTATGGACAGGACATGGGTAACCAGCAAGGGCCAAATGTCATATATTCGACGAATTGTTGGCTCCCATAGTTAAGCGCTAGATCCGTCTGTGTGCCGCTTTTGGTTCACATCGCCTGACATAAGGCAGGAAACCGCTGTTTTTGGAGCACATACAAGCCGATGCATCCAAGCGCCAGTATTCCTGCCAGCATGTGATTTCCCTTAACAAGAGCCTAGAGTTCACTCAACCGGATTGTTCTCCAAGGATCAAGTGCCCATTGTAGAAAGATCTTTCACACTTTTGGGACCCCAATGCCATGGATATGGAGCAGGCAAGCCCTAAAAAAGCTATACCCGAACCTGAGCTGCGCACAGGAAGTACCGCCCCTTGGCCCCACAACGAAACAAAAGTGTTGTGATTTGCTGAAATCGACCAGTGAAACGTAAGACATCCCAAGCCACAGGGAGCCATACCAAAGTTACACATGTAAATGGGTTCTGGGAAGGTGCATCATAAGATGCCAAGGGACGCTTGCATGTCAGTAAACTGGAGGGTTGTTGCAAACTGCAGGCCCCTTTTGGAATCCTCACATTCATGTCGCCGTTAAAGTGGGGCTAAAGACGACTACAATCTGGGTGCCCAACTGGGAGTTTCTCAAAGGGTCATGCCACCTGTTGGTATTTGAAGGGAAGTCAAACGGAAATCCCTATTCTCAGATCTGTTTCACCGAAACCCATTGACATTTGGTGCTACCAAAATGGTTGTAACGAGATAAGCCTTACCATCCCCATTTGAAACAAGGTGTAGTACCCCACAGGCCAACTGGAATCGGAGTGCAGGGCGCCCCAAGTTGTTACATGATTAGAGTTAGGCCCAGTCATAGAATGTATATAACATTGTTTGCTTCACATGGAGTCACTGGAAAAACGTATACTGTATCCTAAGTCTACCTCAGGTTAGAGAAGGCGCCTTGTAGATGCGGCACTCCCCAGAGATCTCCCAGAAGGTGAGGAAATTGCAGCGCGCCGTCTGCTGGCCTCGGTCGGACGGTCGCTTTGGTTGCCACGTGTATGATGCACGTCAAGTCTCCTTCTGACTCACAAAAACATGGGGCCATGACCACGTGCTTTAGGTAGATGACCCCATACGGGTCCTGGAGCTTTGGGTACCCGTTTTGGTGGGTTTCGGCCATGTGACGTGGCAGGGAAAAAGGTCGATATAGAGGGCTTCCAAGGGGTGCGCGGTGGGTTTTAAAGGAAAGCCACGAGGAACACCACAATGTTTCGGGGCAACCTACTTTGACACATACCCACGCAAGCCTGGCAGAAGAAAGGGGGAACCCGTGGGATGACCATGTTTGGTGGATGCCGCAAAGGGCACGTTGACCATTTCGAAGCTGGACGTGATGCATACAATCCTCTGAATACTGTTGACCCAAGATGAATCAACCCCAGTTTATTACTGTGGGGGTGGAGGCCCCTCCAAAAGTGGTCTGATTCCCCACATTTCACCCAAGAAGAAGCACCCTCCTATTAGGATACAGGGGTTTACTAATCCGGGGTCAACGTTATGTCCAACCTGTTGCCTCGATTCGCACGCTGAGACCAGACTTCCAGGTTCGAAGCATCTCGAAGGACCTCAAGCCTTGAGGTCCGGTGGCCCATGCCCAGATGACCGAAGCTGGGTTGGCCTCTGACCGCACAGAGCCAAGAAAAGAGATAGGTAGAAAGGAAAACAGTCACTCTCTGAAAGGCCAAAAGAGCACAGGGTGTACTCAAGAGCAACCTGGTAAAATCGGCTCAAAAGCAATCACTCGTTTCAAACTTCTAGCCGAAGCGGCTTATGGAATTGGTCATCAAGTCCAAAAACAAGTCCAAGCTAAAAGTGCAGTCAAAGATTTGCTGGTGTGATAGGGAATGACCCGTGTTGGAAATGAACCATTTGGCGTCCCCTTAAAGGAAACCACAAGTTGGATATTGTTTTTTTTGGGGGTCATTCCAGTTCTCATTCCCTGAGCACCAGCGAGAAAGCGGTTCACAAAAAGCATCCTCTCAACCCTGGCCCCCATCCCCCAGCTAGTCAAACAAAGGATGTTCATGCAACGACCTTTGTCTTAAAAGCCTTTCACCCCCCAGGGTCAAGGAATTCTCCGAGAAAAAAAAAAGGAAAACAGATTCCCAGTGCGTTCGATATCGCAGCCGCGGCACACAAATCCGCGCACCCGAAGAGGTCCACGAAGGTGCCGGACCCCAGGTTCGATTGCTGGCGCGGAGGCCATCAGAACTCGCTTTTTGGCGGATGCCATCTGATTCAGACTCCAGACCGCTGTTTTGTTGTCTGGATATCGACCTTGAAACCATGGGGTTTAAGGGGGGAACCTTAATTGTCATAAGCATCATTGCGCCCATATGGCAAGCTCACCTTCAACAAGCTCACTGTGATGTAACTGTAGCTCAGAGATTGCGGGGGCTAACCCCTTGTTTCATCTTCAAATCCCCTTTGAGACAGCCGAGTGGGAGTTTCCCTCACGGGTTCCGACATCTTGGGCCCATGAGTTAAGCTGAGCATGGGATTCCAAAACAAAACGGATTTCATCAACGTGCCAATCAATCTGATGATCTGCCCAGCTGCCATCAAGTAAACTGGCTAGTTTGGAGGGCTTGGCATCTCCATCCAGGAAAATGCTTGGCCCAAAGGCCCCCCAACTTCCTGGAAGCTTTCCAGCAAACGAACGTTATTTCCAGCCAATTTGAAGGCATAAACAACATTCCATTCACTTGTCACTGGTAGCTTGCAGTTGGCAAAACAGCACTTGAATTGCTGCTCCCGTTCTGGCCCTAAGTTGGTGGATTTGCTTCCGGTCGGCAGAATAACATACTGGCACCCCCTAACAAGACCAGGAGCCATGATTCCATCAAGACATGCCGCCAGTACCATCCTTTTCTCTACGTTGAGACGCGGGTGCAAAAACATCATGGCCAATGGCCGCAAAGCTCCCAAAGCGGTGCCTGAAAAGGATTATTTGCACTGTTGTACTTCGGTGTGCCCCTTCTCCGCTGGGCGCGTCTTTTTTTTTTGAGGATACCTTTTTGGTTGTTTCAAAGGCAAACCAAAAGGAAACCAGTGTTTTAGCGAGGGGTCCCCGATTTTGAGACACGCCCCCATCTTCCCAGGCTTCCCATTTTCCAGTGGAGACGGGCAGTGATTGGGAGCTCGTACGACTCGCGCATAAAACATACCACCGATGAACCACATGAGTACATGAAGGGTATACAAGGGATACACAGGGGCTACACACAATGAGCAACAGTAGCATTATAACGGATACCTAAACCTGTTGTCGAGAAAGCACTCATCCTTCCTTGGCCCCCTGGTGTTTCTTCCAGTTTCATTGTTTTGGTCTACCCTGAAAAACAAAATCGTGTTGAAGGCGACCCCGGCTTCCGAACGGTTCATTTAAGTCCGTTCCGACCGACGCGAACCGGCACCTCGGAGCAAAGGCCTGATCGGCCCTCGGTGTCCCCGATGTAGGGCCTCACCTGGTCGCAAACGTCGAAAAACGATTTGAGGCTTTGTCGCTCAGACAATTCTACCTTGTGCTTTGGTACCACCTTTAACCTTTTAACAAGCTGGAAAACCACTGTTGCCTGTTCTTTTTGGTTCTTTGATACCACCTCTCACCGTTGAACAATCTGGAAAACCACAGTTGCCTTATAAAGCATCGAGGAGCTTGACTCTTTGGAGGGGGTCAAGCCCAGTTTGAGCAAGTTTGCAGCAAAAACCCGGCCAAGCAGGACTTGCGACCTTGTCTCATGATAGGCATTTTGCCTGTACTGCCCGGAGCGTCAGCGAGGGTCTTGCAATGGAGGGGGAAGGGGATTTCCAAAAAGGGCATGGTAGTGCCTGCGGTGATTTCCACATAATAAACCCGACATACCCCTAATACAGCTTGTCATGTACGTTGGTGCCAAACCTACAAGATACATATATACATATATGTGTTTGCGCAAATATGTGTTATATACTACATGCTTTCTCTAGCAGTACAGTTGGGCTACATCCGCTGCCCATGCATCCCAAGGCCTTGAGACTATGTACAGACAAGGTGAATAGGTATACAGTTGCTCCAAGTTTAACATGGTAGTGGAGCAGTGTTCCCTGGTACACGATCCACACACACACACTACTCAGGATGAGCTCCAACACGCACCCACAGGTTCAGGCATACAGCAGTGAACACAGTTACACACCTGGAAAGATCTGGCGGCCTTTCCATACAACACACAAGGAACGGCGGCCCAACAATAACAACAAGAGCAACAGCATCAGCTGGAAAAAACAAGTACGTTACAAGATAGCGCTGCCACGATTCACAGGAGAATATAAAATACATTCGAAGAATGGAAGTACAAGATGACAGCACACCATGGGCTACAAGAACCTTCATACAACAGACTGCTGACACAGTCAGAGCAACCACAACTGCCAGCTACAAACGGCCAACTTGAGACAGCAGCACCTTCACAAGCAGTAGCAGAGCAATGGATACAACTGAACAACAACTTACACTACATCTTGGTGAGCACAAGCGATGGACCAGCGTCTACAATTTGCAGACAAAACTCGCAAGGCAACAGCTTCGAGACATGGCGGCCACTACACCTGAGATACTCCCACTTGGCACACGAAGCATTGGGTACCTAACAAGGTTACTCAAACCACAGCTCGATGAATAGAAGTTCGAAGAGAGCTTTACAACATGGGAGTTTCAACTCACCAAGTATGAACAAGACAACCACACACTACCAGCAGTCAAAATCGCAATACTGCTCAATGAGACAAAAAGAACACTACAGCAACACCTACAGTTACAAGCAGGATAATTACTACAGAGCAGCATCATCATCCAACAGGCTACAAGCAATCGCATCAGGCAACAGCAACAAAGGAAGAGGCAAAGGACACCAGGACAAGAAGGATATGGCAAAGGAAAAAACAAAGGAAAAGGATACAGCAACAAAGGAAAAGGCAAAGGGTACAAGGACAACAAGGATATGGCAAAGGAAAAGGATACGCAACAAAGGAAAAGGCAAAGGATACAAGGACAACAAAGATATGGCAAAGGAAAAGGACACAGCAACAAAGGAAAAGGCAAGGGGTACTACAACAATCAACCAGGAGGAAAAGGAGCAAAAGGAAAGCAAGCAGAAAATGATTGCTACAGATGCGGACAACCGGGACACATGGCCAAACAATGTAGAGTGGCCTGCGACACTGGCAACTTCGACATCAATGACCAGACAGATGACTGGTGCAGTCAGGCACGCTATGACAGCAACTGGTACCACCAGGTCAAACACAGATGCAACAACTGGCGCTGCAAGAAGTAACAATTGCCATGATTGGCGCAGCACAACAATTCATAGAAGATAACAAGTGGGTCAGTCTCATGATTCACGCTACACCTGTGTGCCCACCATGGTTTGCAACACAATTTCCACTACAGCACCTTGAGCATGGAACAGGACCACAACTGAGAACAGTGACCAACCAACACATCAAGCTTCACGGGTACAGATGAGCATTGTTTTTGTTGAGGTTCGGGGCTTTTACACTGCTGGGGCGGCTCCGCGGGCGGGGGGCTTCGCGGGGCTAGATTTCGTGGAAGGGTTGGCTTCCCGAGGCTTCGCAGCAAGACTGCGGCTTCGCGGAGTGGCTTCGCGGGGGTTCGCGGGCGTCTGTCCCATAAACATCTCTCGTTTAGTGAGTCACACAGACGCGTCAGCCTCGTCCCTTGTCTTGGACCAATCAAGCGGCAGCATCTGAGTCGGAACTAGAACTTGAAGTTGAAGAGCTGGAGGAAGACACGTGCAAGGTCTTTGCCTGTCGTTTCTTCTTGGCCGCTGCCTTTTGCAGCCGCGTTGCGGCGGCGGACAACAAATTGTCGATTTCACGGCTGGCCGAGACCGGACGGGGTGGCAGCACATGCCTTTTTTTGGGAGGCATGCCGGCGGACAACTTCGTTGACATCTCCAGGCTGTGGTCCAGTACGTTCCCACACCGGGTCTCCTGACCAGAATCCTCGACGCCAAGCCTTAGGCATTGTGTTGCCATCTTCATCCATATCCAAAACGTTTCTTTGCTCAATCGTCCAACCGAAGGTCAGTACCTTCAGAGTCACTGAAGACATGGTTCTTGAGGCGGAGCCCATGTGCGCGGCCACGAGAGAGTTCAGCGCAGAGGCAATAGGTTCTTGTGATCAAGAAGCTCGGGCACTGGAAAAAGGTTCTAGGATGTGGCGCTGGAACTTTTGTATGTGGAATTTGGGGCCAGATTCTGGGCCCCGATTCACCCTATCCTGCGCCCCTGCTTTGTAGCAAGCAAGCAAGTCAGCAATGCCATAGATCGGCAGCCATGAAACCTTCAGAAACGGTGGATGTTGGGGCCAAAGGCGACGAGGTGGCCTGCTTGATGAGGAAGGAGTACAGGGCGCTCTCCGCGAAGCGGGGGAAGTGAAGCTGAATGAGAAGTGCACCAAGCATGGAACTTGCCAATGGCAAGGCTGCAAGCAACGAGTGTCGTGCTGGTAGCACGGGTCGCAAATGCGTGTTCCCAAGATAGCCCTGCCATCCTGGAGAAGAAGCAGATTGCGAAGCTAAGGCGCAGTGCTGGGTCTGCGCACCGAAAATGAGGTAAAACCGGCCGATGGCCAATTGCCGTTTTGAGTCCAAATTTTGAAGGAGCTTTGGGCTAAAGCGGCCTCCTCCAAAAACTGGGTGCTTTTGCAGATTCGGCAGTGCAGTGGCTTGGGTGGACTTCAGGCTTAGCTCTCTTCTGTCCTTGGGGGAGCTTGGTCGCTGTCAGTCCAGCCCATAGTGGGTGGTCGTCCCGTGGCAGCTTAAGATCCATGTTACCGCAGGGCCAAATGAACACGGCTGAGGGGGGGGGGCAATCCGATAGACATTTCAGTTAAGGATGTGCTATGGGATTTCTGCATGCAAACACGGAGCCTTCACCCACCGTGTTTGCGGGGTTGAGCACCTTTGGTGGTGTGTAGTGCTGCTGAATCCTGTGTTGTTGGTGGTGTTGTCTTCTCTCTCAGTTGTGTGCGTGGGTTGTACTGAATTACTTGTGGTGTAACCTTCTGTTCTGTGCTTTTTGGCTGTGTCTCTGTTGCAAACTGTTGCTGCTGTGTCTCTGGCAATGCTGTGCCTTTCTTGAGCCTGAATGCTGTTTCTCCTTTACACATTTCCTGTTGTGCTTTGTTTGGAGCATCTGTTGTTTGGTACTTGTCATCAAACGTGTTCGTTGTGCCATCCTTGGATCTGATTCTTCTGTAGTCCTCAAGTTGTTCTGCTGGGTGTGAAGAGTGTCTTCCTGTATTGTCTGTGTACTCTGACAAGTTCACCTTGTGTGTTGAACTGCCAGTAGTCTCCTGCATAACCTGTGTCTGCAGGACCTTGTGGTGTAAGCGTTGTGGTTGGTGCTATCATGCCAATCTCCTTGCTGTGTGCTGTGTGTCTGTAGCTTTGTTCCTCTTGGCAGTGTTGTGATGTCTGCTTGTAGGAAGAACCGGCCATCTCTGTTCTCCAATGTGCTGTTGAATCCTTCGGTGTGCTGTAGTCTTGGATTGTCATCCAGTGCAAGCTGGAACCTTGTTCCACCAGCCTTGTAACTGAAAGAATTGGCTGTTTAACCTCATAAACGTAAAATGGTGTGACAATCTGTTGCCCACTGTGGTTTGTCACGCAAACCCATCTGAGCAGCGTTTTTTTCCAGATGATGAATTCTAGCTTCGAGGAGAACTGCCAAAAGGTCCGCGAAGCCACTTGTGTGAGACCTTGTGCACTGCGAAGCCCCGCAAAGGCTCTCGCGAAGTTTTCGTGGGTTTAACGAAGCCACTTCGCGAAGCCACTTTGTGGTTATTGAGGTATTAGAGGGGGCTAACGAAATACCAAACGAGCCACGGAGCTGGGAAATGGGCATACCCCTGCGAGTAAACCTCAAACAAGCAGAACAAGTGGTAGAAGTTTAGAGTCCTACTAAATACACCGCTTGGCTTGAGGTTAACATCAACTAACTTGCAACTTAACATGCAAGTTACTCATGTACACCACAAGTTGGCTAAGTTCCCCCAGCTTCAGGGTTCACATACAAGTTAGCTGGGGAGAACTTAGGCAACTTATGCAACTTAAGAGGGGGAACTTACCGGGGACTTACGGGGAACTTACGGAGAACTTACGGGGAACTTACGAACACTGTGGATTTTGTTTTTTTGAAATCCATGGCCGCGCGAAGCCTCCATGAAAAGAGGACAAAGCAGACATTCTGTGTGTCGCATGGAAATTATGTGTTTTCTTGCTAGCGTAGGCCGTTTTTCATGTCTGAGGTAGCATTTGGTCATGTTTGCGGGGGCTTTCTAGCGCAGCCATCTAGTGCTCTTTTGTGCTCTTATGTTAAGTATATTTATAGACTATATATATATATATATTGTTGTGATGCGGCATGTATGTATGGAAATTATGTGTGTAAGTGCTCT